GGAGAAGAAAAGAATTAATTTTAACTCAAACAATGGAGAAGACTATAATGAATTATTTTCAATGCATGAGTTACGTACTGCCCTTGAGCAAGCTCATGATACAGCAAGAGGGGCTGATAATATACACTATCAGCTCTTAAAGCATTTACCTGAATCATGTTTGGAAACACTTATGAATATTTTTTATACAATATGGACTACAGGGACTTTCCCAACTTCATGGCGTAATGCCATTGTAGTCCCTATACCAAAGCCTAGCCGGGATCATACTAATCCGTCTAATTACAGACTCTTTAACGAGTGTGTGTCTGTAAAACCATGAAACGAATGGTAAATAATAGAATAACTTGAAACCAAAAACCTTATAACAAATATTCAATGTGGTTTCAGGAAAAATCGTAGTACCATTGATCATTTGGTACGTTTAGACTCCTTTGTTAAAAATGCTATAATAAATAAACAACACGCAGTATCGATATTCTTTAATCTCGAGAACTCATACGATATCACCTGGAAGCATGGCATTTTAAAGGATTTACACGATTTTGGTTTAAGTGGTCGTTTACCTCTTTTTATATCAGTTTTGAATAGACAGGCAATTTTCCAGTCCGAGTGGGTTCAATCCTGTCTGACCATTATTATCAGCATCAGATCGATAGAGTGTCTCACAAGGCAGTATTTTGTCTGTCACGCTATTTAATTAGTATCAAGATCAACAGTTTATCAAAGTTTTTAAATTATTCAATCGATGGATTACTTTTTGTGGATGATTTTAACATTTCTTGTCGCTGTGAAAATATGCAAACTAGTGAAAGGCACCTGCAGATGTCTTTAAATAAAATAAATAATTGGTGTGTTGAAAACGGCTTTAAATTTTCTAATTTTTGTAGAAAATATAAACCGCATAAAGACCATGAACTGTTTCTAAATGGCAAATTGTTAAGGATGCCAAGTTTTTTGGTCGACTCACATTTAACGTTTCTGTCACATATCAAATCTCTTAAAACTAAATGCCTGAAGGCTCTTGACTTGTTGAAAGTCGTTTCCAATTGTAAGTGGGGAGGGGATCAAGCTACCCTCCTACACCTATATCGATCATTGGTCCCTTCCAAACTTGACTATGACTCCATCGTATATGGTGAAGCCTGCAAAAGCAACCTAACACTGTTAGATTCTATCCACCGTCAAGGTCATCTCTTAATCAACGACATATAAAATTATCCTTGCATTTTATAACAAAACTATATTGTAATGAATCTAAGCCTGCTTTTAACTGTGTCTTCAATCTCCTATGTAAGGATTTATACAACAACAAATCTTCTCTTGTTCCGCCTCTTGGACTCAAAATTAAACCATTCCTTTCCGTTTCTCTCTCGTGCCTTGAGACTCTTAAACATTTTTCTTGTAAACATCCACTTTTAATAAAAAATATTGAATTGTATAATGATCTTGCTACTGGTCAATGTGACATCGTCTTTTGTTGGTTACCCAGACATGTTGGCATTCCTGGGAATACAATGGCTGATCTTGCTGCCAAGGCAGCACTCAATAAATCTGTGACACTACTTCTTATCCCATACTCTGATTACGAAGTTAGCATTAGAACCTACATCCGTGATCTGATGCAGAAGAAGTGGGACACCTAAGTAGGTATCAATAAATTACATGAAACAGAACCTTATATTGGTTACACCTACTTGGGTTGTCAGTCCAAATTTGAGGAGGTCATTATGCAACGATGTCGCATGGGCCATACGCGTTATACTCACAAATACCTGTTAAAAGGTGAAGATCCTCCGTTTTGTATCCCTTGTGAAGAGAGTCACAGTCAAGCATGTCCTGCTTGACTGTGTTGAATTATCCATCATAACGGATAAATATTTCAATGAGAAAACAGTTAAGGATCTTTTTAATACTGTTTGTTTGTTTTAAAAGAAATTGACTTCATTAATGAATTCTGATTAACATGTTCTGTAGATAGATGTATTTTAATGATTGGTAGTTTAGATTAGTAACTTAGATTGTTAGTGACTGTACCCTCAAAGGGGGTTAAAGTATTGTAAAATTATTGTCCTCCTGAGAGGGTACATAAGTCCCAAAACATTCAAAGTAAATTTAAACCTACTACGTTTTTAATCGTAGTATATATAGTCTTTTAATTTGTGGCTAGATTATCTTAAATTGCTAATAGCTTAAGGGGTGGCGTTTTTACCTTGTATTGTCATCTATAGTTAAACTGCTTTGGATTTAATTACTAGTTTTCAATTCGAATCTGTGATAATCTAGTTATTTTACTGTCCTTTGCTGACAGGTTTTAACAATTTACCATTAATTACTATGTATAACATTAATTGTTCTCGTCACGATATGGCTGAAATATTGCCGATGTAACGATAAATTTGAACTCACTCACCCACAAGTAGGTATCAATAGATTACATACAAAAACCAACAATTGGTTACACCTTCTTGGATTGTCAGTCCAGGTCTGCAAAGGTCATTATGCGACGGTGTCGCATTGGCCACAGCAGGTATACCCACGAATACTTATTGAAAGGTGAGGATCCTCCATTTTCCCACCCTTGTAATGAGATAATCACGGTCAAGCATGTCCTGCTTGACTGCATTGATTTTTCCATTACCAGGGACAAATGTTTCAAGATTATAACCTTAACTGATCATTCTAATCAAGTTCATCCTCATTTTATTCTTATTTTTCAAAAAGAATTAGAAGTAAATTTGGATTTTGTATTGTAATCAGTAAATCTATTTTAAATGGTTAGAATTGATAAATTTTAATAACCTTGACTTTCGAATAAGCCTAAAATTACTGTCTTCCCGAGTCCAATGTCACTCAAGGTATTTTTCACACTAAGTGTTTTAATTGCAGAATATGTGCATTTTGGAGTTCAATCGCCAAAAGCGGAAGGGATGGTATGAATTCATCTAGGGTTCATGCAGGGAGCAAAAGTACTGTAAGTCCTCATGATCCCTAGAATGGTGCTCTGCTTTCAATTACTAGCGATTCATAGCCCGTTTTCATATTGTATTGTTCTCGTGAGTAATATCGTTTTATGATAATATACTCGTTTTAATTTCATATCTGCGATACAGTTTTAGTTTTATCGTCAACAGGGCACCCGTGAAGAGCCACCTCCTCGTGGTGGGTGCTGGGTAACGCTTAGAGCTCTTCAACCCCCCGTGTGTACCCGGGGGTATATTTGGTCCACGAACCTGTTTGCCGTGGGTTGCGCCCCTGTGTCGGTGGAGGACGGGAGTCTGGTGGATGAGGGCACTGGTTCCGGGAATAGAGTCCCTTTGCCCAACACACCACTTCGCCCCTTACTTCACCTAGACGGGTGGTTGAATTGGCCTGGTTCAATCAATCGGCTGGTCATGCCAAGCCCTGTGCATGATTTTGTATTTGCACAAATTCTATTTCTAAATTGACTGTTTACTTTAGGTCTTGGCCCAGTTTGTTTATCAAACTGTTCTTGTTTTGGAAATATGCTTATTATAAATTTGCCCAGAAGGCGATGGCTCATGGGCCAATCTGGTAGTACATATTTATTCAATGTGACTGCTTGAGTATACTCTCTTGGTATCCTTGGTGCCGCCTGTTGGAGGTCCACAGGCATGTGGCATCGTCCTTGTTGACAAGCCATGGTGGGTGGGGAGCCAGAAGAATGAACCACAAACTATACAATCATGGCTTCACAAAACCCCAAAAACAAAAACGTCATCATGCAGATGACACTGATGATGAGGAAGATACAATTACCAGACTGTGCTATTCGGAACGTGAAACCTAGCCTCGATTCATTGTTGCAGTGTCTAGTGGGAAAAAGTTAACTTCTTGTTCTCCTTTTCTATTAGAAAAAGCAATTCAAGGTATTGCTGGAACTGTTAACAATGTAACCAAAATTAGATCTGGTTCAATTCTAATAGAATGTGTCACGAGACAACAAGCAGCAATTCTCATGGAAACAAAATCCTTTGCAAACATTCCTGTAAAATGGTATCCACACAAGTCTCTCAACTTCAGCAAAGGCATTATCCGAGACAGAGGTAGGAGTCTAGCTGACCTCTCCACGGATGACATAGTAAGTCAATTAAGAATACAGGGTGGAGTTGAGGCGAAGCGTTTCACATTCAAGAAAGATGGTGTCTATTCGCCTTTCAATACTTTTATGCTTACATTTGATGTTCCGAAGATGCCACAATCTCTTAAAGTCGGATGCTTCTCTATGAAAATTGATCTGTATATTCCTAATCCTCTCAGGTGCTTTAACTGACAGAAATTCGGCCACGGACAAAAGTCATGTAAAAATCATGCTGCTTGTTTTCGTTGCGGTGACAAAGATCACGATAGTGGTACATGTACATCAGAACCAAAATGTGTGAATTGTTCTGGTTCACACATATCCTCCTCTAAAGAGTGTACTATTTAGAAATTTCAAATGGCCGCCCAACGCATCAAAACAGAAAAGAATGTTAGTGTTTCAGAAGCAAGGAAGTTGGCTGCTTCACCTACACCATCTGGCAACACTCGACTGTGCGGTAAGTCCACCTACGCTGAAGTGATGAAACCCTCCACTCACTCCATTTATTGTCAAACCGACTTGACTTGGGTGATACACAGACCCCTATGTGTGTTCATGATCTCACTTCTGGCACAACTTCTAAATCGTCCTCACAAAAAGTATCGAAATCATCAGAAACCCAAACATCTGCACCAACTGTTAAAAAGAAAAATGCTAATGTTGACTATTGAAAAGAGCAAAATAGAAGTGAACGAGTTCCAAAAGAACAAAGAGACATTGTGTCCATTTTAAACAGGTTCGATATCTTAGATGACATGGATGTGTCATCCCAAATGAGCACCGGCTCCAAGAGCCATTCTCCCACAAAGAAAGGTCGGGAGCTTTCTCCAATAGCACACCCTATATGAATTCTCACAATATAATCCAGTGGAACTATAGAGGAATGAGGAATAATTTGAATGATTTACAGCTTTTAGTTCAAGATTTGAAACCATCAGCTTTATGCTTGCAAGAGACATATTTCAAATCAACTGATACCTTTGACTTACGACGGTATACATCATACCATTGTTACTCCCCTCCAGGGCATAAGGCTACTGGAGGATCTTCAATTATTGTGAGGCAGGGTATAATCCATAGTCCTGTCCCACTTAATACTCCTCTTCAAGCAGTTGCAGTTAGGCTTACTCTGCATTTTGTTGTCACTTTATGTTCTCTTTACATTCCACCCTCATCCTGTCTTCAGCAATCAGATATTCGAGAGTTCTATGCTCAACTCCCTAAACCTTGTATTATCACAGGTGACAATATATGGACTTCTGGTCATTTGCCATCATCATGGCGAGATGCTATTGTCATTCCTATCCCTAAACCTGGTCGGGATCATACTGATCCTTCTAACTACCGATCAATATCACTTACTAGTTGCGTTTGTAAGACTATGGCACGTATTATTAATAATCGTTTAGTTTGGTACCTGGAAACCAACAACCTCATCACTAACATTCAATGTGGTTTCCGCAAAAATCCAAGTACCATCGACCATTTGGTACGTTTAGAATCTTTTATTAAAAATTCCATATTAAATAAACAACTTGCTGTTCGACCTTGAAAAGGCATATGATACGACATGGAAGTATGGAATTCTAAAAGATCTCCATGACTTTGGTTTGAGGGGTCGTTTACCCCAATTCATATCTCAGTTTTAGAAGAAAGACAATTTCAGAGAGACAGACAGAGTGGGTTCTACCCTGTCTCACTATTACAATCAGGATCAGGCTGTCCCACAAGGACGTATATTGTCTGTTACCTTGTTTAGCGTTAAAATCAACAGTTTATCAAAGGTTTTAAATGATCCGATTGATGGATCACATTTTGTGGATGATTTTAATATTTCTTGTCGCGGTAAAAACATGAATACTATTGAAAGGCAGTTGCAGTTATGTCTAAATAAGATTCATAAATGGTGTCTTGAAAATGGTTTTAAATTTTCAAAAGCCAAGACCAACTGCATTCATTTTTGCAGAAAATATAAGCCACATAAGGACCACTATTTAGTATTGGATGGAGCTCCTATCAAAATTGTAAAAGAGGCCAAGTTTCTTGGTATTGTTTTTGATCAACATTTGACATTTCTACCGCACATAAAACAGTTAAAGACTAAATGCCTTAAGGCACTGGATGTATTCAAAGTAGTTTCAAATTGCAAATGGGGAGGGAATCAGAAGACACTCCAGCTGTACAGATCACTCATCCGATCAAAACTTGATTATGGCTCCATCGTATATGGTGGAGCCTGCAAAAGCAACCTAAAACTATTAGATTCAGTACACCACCAAGGTCTAAGACAAAGGCAAAAATCGCTGTCGAGATTGATAAAGATATCACACTGAAAATACTTGTTGCTAATTTTTGTGTGAGGAGTACATTTTGCTGCTAACTTGGTTTATTCATCGCCAAACTCCCAGAACCATTCAACAGGTCAATAAAAGTCATAATTCAAGGTGCACTCTGGACGATAGTTTCAAATCTGTTTTTAAATGGACATTTAACGAATACGTTCTCTTGGTCCAGGTTTGACTCTGCCGAACTTGGCACTGAACAAGCCCACAGATCAAAGCTCGACTAGAGACGGAAGGACATCAGAGCTAGCTGTTGACGGCAACAACAACACCCGCTACCATTCCGGAAGTTGTACCCACACGGCGACCGCTTCGGAGCCATCCATTGACTGGTGGCAGGTAGATCTCCAGACGACCTTCAATGTTATAAGTGTCTCCGTCACCAACAGGGTGACTGTTGTCGTAAGTAAAACAACAATAATGTTACACTTCAATGCAATGGGAGTGAGTTAATATTTATCGTCACATCGGCAATATTTCACCTATATTGTGACGAGAACAATTAATTATTGTATTATAGAACAATACAATTAGAAAGTAAAAGCCTGTTGACGAAGAACAGTAAAGCTACCAGTTTATCACAGATAGTAAATAAAAACTAGAGCATATGCATGTTATCATAAAAACGATTTAAAGAGAACAATGCAATATATAAACAGGCTATAGATTGCTAACAAGTGAAGGTAGATCACCATATTAGAGACCTTAGGGACGTAGGGTACATTAGCTTCTTGCGTGGACCCCAGCTGGATTTACACCATCTCGATCTTCAGCTGTTAGCAATTCGGAGAAATCTAGCCATACATTAAATGACACATATTCTACGATTAAAAAAGAGAAGAGAGATTAAATTGATTTTGAATGTTTTTGGACTTACGTATCCTCTCAGGAGGAAAATAATTTTACGCTACTTAAACCCCCCTTTGATGACCCAATGCACCTAGGGTTCGGTATATAGAGAAGCCTCGTTAACTAAGACCTCATGAAATCACTACAGTGAAACCTCATTCAGACAGTTTACACACTTCCACGAAAGTACCTGTAACGTTTATCTGCATAAAAACTAAGAGATTTAAGCCTAAATTACCGTTAAACATATTACATGAAGTAAGTATATCACACATGATGATAACGATAATATAGTTTTCAGCAATTGATAGTGAGTGAGTGAGTTAAATTTTTACATTGCATCAACAATATTACAGCCATATAGCGATGAAAACAAGGTAATCATTTTAAAATACCTATCGACAAAGGACAGTAAAACCTACTAGACTATCTACTAGATATATGTATTTAAAACTAGTAATTAAATCTAAAATACTTTAACTATAGAGGATGATACAATATAAAAACAGGCTATAGATCGCCAACAACTGAAGGTAGATCACCATACTAGGGACCATGGGGACTTACAGTACCTTTGCTACCTGCATGGACCCTAGGTGGATTTACACCATCCCTTCAGCCCCTGGCGATTGTAGGAACATTTAGCCATAATTAAAAGAACATATATACTACGATTAAAAATAGTAGTAAGTTTAAACTGACCTTGAATGCGCTGGGACTTACGTTCAGCAATTGGTAATTAAGAGCTAATTAAAGCAAGAATAAAATAACATCATTCTGACAAAAATGCGCAAAAAATCTTTTAGACTGAAAAAGAAAGTACTGTAGATGAAAAACGGACAAAATACTTGACATTTTTTATAAGCAAACCGTCACACACTACCTTCCCGTTTGTGACCATACACCGGAAAAAGCAATTCAGTGTGATCAATGGTAATCGATCTTGAAGTCAATGTAGTTCACGTACGTCTTTCCTTATCCGTTTGTTCAGACATTTTTCATCGAAAAAGCAATTCAGTGTGATCAATGGTAATCCAAAACATTCCGATCCTGAAGTCAATGCAATTCACGTACGTCTTTACTGTTTTGTAAGGATATCATTCGTCTGTTGACCGGTTGGTAGAATTCGTCTGCACTCTCATTCATATTCAGGAAGCGATGTTCCTTCACATCTGTTCATGGTACAGCATTTTCTAGTACAGTTACCTCGCGTTGAACGGGGTGAATTGTATAATTAAAGTTTTAGAACATATCCTAATGTTCACCCGGACACCAGGTTAAACAACTTTACTTTGGAGTTCCATACCAGCTGAGCAATGATTTTGGTCTCCAACTCTGTTACTGGCATAAAGGCTCTGTAGACTGCAGTCTGACGGTAGACTTGACCTGTGCAGTCAACGCTATTTATAGGTCAGAATAGCCAAGTACAGATCCGTTTCGGCATCTGCGTTTATCAGCTAAATTATCCAAATTATTCTTCTTCCATCCAGACGACAGATTAACCAACTTCACAGTGGAGGTCCATACTTCTGACCCGATGACCAGCAACAACTCTGGCCTCCAACTCTGTTACTGGCATGAAGGCACTGTAGGCAGCGGTCTGACGGTAGACTTGACCTGTGCCCTCAACGCTATTGGACGTTACGTCAGAATCGTCAAATACAATCCCGGAGTGAAGTCTTTAGCTTTGTGCGAGGTTGTGGTCAGAGGAACATCTTTGCATGACACATGCAGCGGTAAGGAAATCCTAGCCAATGAATACCATGAAGCTCCGGGTTAGAATTGGGCTTCAACAACCCATGCTTGTCGTATCAAGGCGATTTTTGCATTGAATGCTCATGATGTTGATCAATGTATCGTCTGGTCCAGACCCTATTATATACAGACCCCTGTCATATAGCTAGGAATATTGCTGAGTGCGGCGTCAAATAGCAACCCAACCAACCAACCTAGCGAATGATCAGTTGACTTCACTTGTACTTAAGAAAGCAGATTCAGTATACCAGCTTTACTAAAATGGAAGCATAGTATTACACGAAACCCTAGCGAATGATACCCGTGAAGAACCGGGCTAGAATTGGTCTTTAGCAAACTCGTAAAAGGGTACTAACCGGATCTGGTGGTTGGACTCGCTGAATTGGTCGACACCTCATCATATCCCAATTGCGTAGATCGATGCTCATGCTTTCATACCCAGACACCAGTCTACTAAGGACGGCCCTGTATCTGCTTTTGCCATCTTGGTGAATAGTTATCCAGGTATCACAATATGATAATTATCTGTATTTAGTGAATCAAGGCCGAGGTTATACTTTTACCACCTTGATCACAATCACGCACAATATGGTATGGGATACGACTATGTTCGGGGCTAAAAATATATGACCTACACCAAGCTCGATCGTTCATCCAGTATCATTTAAGTCCCGTGCGATCTGTAAACCATCCAGGTAACTACCAGCAAGGCAATGTAAAGCCCCATTACCCTTGGCTCGGCTCTCCCGCGCTGGCACACCGTCAATTCAGGCGTGGTTATCTAACTAAACATATATGTTAAACTACATGTACTCTACACTAGCTAACTGACGCAGGGCTACTTAGATAGCATTTGGGACACTAAACTAAGTATTTAGCTATACAAAACTAATAATTCAGCTGATACTTAACCCCATGCTGAGTTTCACAGCAGCGGTGCCACCAGTGTGCCCTGGTTGTGCGTTGACATCCGATCTGTTGAGCTACTACTCTACACCTTCCGCTGGAAGTCTCTCAACGTCCAAGTGTCTCAACACATTATATATACTTTGATGAATGTTTGATCTGTTATTTCTTATGAGAAATGTATTCCTTTTATGATATATTACATATATTTGTGCATGAGGAAAACGCATTCAGCGTTGTTTTGTTTTGTGCTATAAAATAATCACCAAGCATCACCACAAAGTATTCGCCTTTCCGAAAACTCATGTCAAAACAGTGTTACCGTTCTTGGTTTGAAACTTCAGTTGGGTGTTACTACTTCCGCTGAGTAGTTTACTGCAGCGACTCCATTTGACCAGCGAGGTCTGTGTATTTGTCACCAACATCATAGAAATTAGAAACTAACATGGAGAAGCAACATTGCTTTACCTTCCGTAGTTTCAGGGGTAAATCGATGGGGCAAATTATACATTTAACACTTACTATTTGATAATAATTGATGGTAAATGATAAATAACCTAATTTCGATTATCGATATTTCAATAGAATCGTGGTTTGATAAAGTCCTCTTAATGGTAAGATAATGAAGTGTATTTATGCCTTTGTATTGATCTCCTCAGGATAATTACATTGCTTACTATTATGGGTTTGATTAATCACTCACTTAAATTATTATAAATTAACCAACCTTGCTCGAGCAGTGATAACAAGGAAGCCGCATCTGAACCTGATACTGAACCATGTTATATTGATCATGGGGATCCTGAGCGAGTGAGTGAGTGAGTTTAGGTTTACGCCGCTTTTAGCAATATTCCAGCAACATCACGGCGGGGGACACCAGAACAGGGCTTCACACATTGTACCCATGTGGGGACTCGAACCAGGGTCTTCGGCGTGACGAGCGAACGCTTTAACCACTAGGCTACCCCACCGCCCCTGAGGATCCTGAGGAACAATCACCTACAAATGGTAGCCAGGGTGAAAGGTATGCTTACATTTTACTGTACATTACATAATGATATTTCACGTGTGTCTGCTGTCCATGGTTGTTCTCATAAACATAGTGTTCTAATAAAACAATGAATAATATTGCATATCAACGTGATCAAAGTCAGCAATATTGTATTGCTCTGATCATAGTTATTGTACATATTCCATGTTTTGTTTCCACCTCAGGGAATGACTTTCTAAAGTTTCTAAATACTAAATTTGTTAACATATATACTTCACCTATAACAGTTTAGATGGGAAAATAATGTCCACTTAATATACTAATTTACAGATATTATATTTAATTATTTCAATTTTCAATGATAGAATTTCTTGAAAATCAAACATAAATATGAGCCATTAAAACGTTATTTTACAAATGAAGTAATGCTACATGACTACTGCGCTGTACCTGAAGCCAACATCAGCGGTGTCCGGTATGTGTCGACCCAGACTGACAAGACTGAGGTTAGACGTCGCAGCACACAAACCAACGATGGATTCTTGATATCTTTAGATCCAGTCAAAAGTAGTACTTAGCGCAATGATACAGACAACTGATGAATCAACTCCTGAGTGGGCAGCACAGGTCCAAATGCCATATATTAGGTATAGATGGCCCAGATGTACTATATTTTTATACATCATCTTTCAATTTCCTACGTACGTAGTACTTAATATCTCCTATAGGACATGATCGATATATGTTAATATACATTAATCTGAAATGGTCGACTTAAATCCCCAGACACGCAAACAATCCCCTGTTTGCTGTTTCAGTCACTGTTAGAGTATACTATCACGTGTTTCATTTACTATTAGAGTCTACTGTTTCCTCACTATTAGATCATGTGTTTGCGTCATCATGTGTTGGACTGACTGTTATACTTTACTGTCATGCGTTTAGTTTACTCTACTATTACGGACCCGTGAAGGTCCGGATTAGAATTGAAGGTCCGGGTCAGAATTGAAGGTCCGGTTAGAATTGAACTTCAGTAACCCATGCTTGTCGTAAGAGGGGACTAACGGGTTCGGGTGGTCAGGCTCGCTGACTTGGTTGACACATGTCATAGGTTCCCCATTGCGCAGATCGGTGCTCATGCTGTTGATCACTGGATTGTCTAGTCCAGACTCGATTAGTTACAGACCGCCGCCATATAGCTGGAATATTGCTGAGTGTGGCGTAAAACTAAACTCACTCACTCACTCACTCTACTATTACGCGTTGCATTTAGTTGCACTTTGTTACACTTTACTATTATGCGTTGGATATTTTCAGAGG